ATAGATAGATAGATGATAGATAGATAGATAGATAGATAGATAGATAGATAGATAGATAGATAGATAGATAGATAGATAGATAGATGATAGATAGATAGGGAGGGAGGGAGGGAGGAATAAAGAGAAATGTGTGAATTTTGCTAACAATATTCTTCTTCCTTCAGCTGAACAAACAACAACTACAAGTGGTGAAAGAGCGGTTTCAGGCATTTCTAAATGGAGAGACGCAGATTGTGGCTGATGAAGCTTTTTGCAATGCGGTTCGAAGTTACTATGAAGTAAGTAAAATCTTTTTCTCTAGTGTATTTTTGTGTATGTGTGCGCTCACACGTGTTCATTTTCCATGAACCTTTATATTAGCTACTGTACCTAGTGAAAACATTTTAAATGATGTTTTTTAAATTAAAACCATTAAATTAGGGCTGTTTTCTTAAATCAAGGATTCTCTTTTAATATTTGGACTAAATAATCTTCTGCTTCTAGTATTAGGCTGATAGATGTTTGTCCAAACTTCTGGAATGAAGTCATTATCTACATCAAAGGTTGTTTCAATATTTGAAAAAGAAGAATAAGGAATTCTTCCTAGAATTATTAGTTAGCAACATCCCCCTTTGTTATTCTAACATGTGCAGCTAATGTAGATATATGGGAAATTGTGCTAATATGAAGGAGCCTCAGATAGCATTGCTTTTTCACATGCCTGTGTCCCAACCCAATATTGGTTGTCAGAAACCTTGTTGATTTTTGCCTCTTAGAGACTGGATTAGGATCTGTTTGAACAAAGAATATTTTCCTTTTCCACAACTGGCAAAATATATGTTTCCTATCCAATTTCTTTTCAGTTATTTTATAATGGGACACAGACGTGTTCATGAAATCAGCCTTCTCTGAAGAACTATCTTTATTTCCAAGTTTGGTGTTTAGCAGAAGCCTTGACACGTGATCTGTGCTCATCACTTTTCTCCATAGTTTGTCCATGTGTGAAGGTGAAATAGCTTTGGTCTATCTTCTTCATGTCTGCTGGCTAGAACAACTCCCTAGAGATGAGAGACATGGACATACTCAGTTTGGAAATCATGTATTCATTAAAATGAATGTAACTCTTAAAGCGTCAACACTTGTTTTTTTACAGAATGAGAAAATGTGAGATAGTTTTAACATATAGACAGGCATTATTCTACTAGACTTCAACAAATTATTGAAAATCTGGCATTGAGGCTTGTCACATTGGATCAGAGGAGTTATGCCAGCTGATTTATTCTAGCTTTTAGTAAAATGTACAGCTATAAAAGACATATAGAACCTTTTATCTTTCACATTTTATTTTGGTTTACATCTCTCTTCAAAGAGTACTTGTTTTACCCCTTTGTTTCCTAGTGCTTTGGCCCTTTATTATAGTTTTCAAGGAATGAGCTCCTTGAAGGGTTGCTGGGATTAATGTTTTAAAAGAGCTGGAGCTAAGGTTCAGAATGCTAGGGATATGTTTGCTACACTTTCAACAAGAGGAGCAGATGGGTAGGAAAGTAGAATGATCATGTATAGATGTTTCTTGGTTCTGCATCTTTGTTGTTAGTGCTGCTGGATTACAATTATAGTAGCAAGACCTTGATTAAAATTCAACCTGAGAATGAAGGTCACAGGAGAGCCTGAACTCTTTTCTTACCTTCCTTAGAAAATGTTATTGTGCACAATAAATGGCAAGGGATATCAAACAATTGTCCTAAAGTTTGTGAGGGAATCAATGAAATTAAAAAAAAAAACATTCCAGTCAATCCATTGTACTTGAATACTTGAATCTTCCAAATAGGTAATGAATTCTTCTACCCATGTTGGTCAGGACTGAAAAGTTTATGGAAGCAAGGCGAAGTATTTAATGAACTTTTGCTTTGCTTTCATAAACTTGCCAATCCCACTCCCAAAATAGAATTTTCAATTCGTCAGGCTGACAGATATGTACATCTGGTAATGTAGTAATTATTTCCAGATTTGGAATGAGAAGGAGGGCATGATGGCTCAGCAGTTAAAGATGCCGAGTTTGTCATCTGGAAAGCTGGCAGCCTGGGTTCGAGATCCAAATGCCTCATGACGGGGTGAGCTCCCCTTTGCCCCAGCTCTTGCCAACCTAGCAGTTTGAAAGCATGCAAATGCAAGTAGATAAATATGTACCACTTCAATAGGAAGATAACAGCGTTCGGTGCGCCTCGCTCTATAGTCATGCTGGCTACATGACCAGATAAGTGTCTTTGGACAATGCTGGCTCCCCCAGGTAGGAACAGAAATGAAGGTTATGAGATGTCTCTAGAGTCAGAAACAAGTGGAAAGGGAAAAGAAACATTTACCTTTTTTTTTTTTTTTTTGGTATTAGAGATGCCTGAAAACAAACAGTTGAAATAATCACTTAAAATATTTTTCGTCTATATACCTGTATATACCTGCCATAGGTTCGTTATGGCGCGTGGAGCCCTCTCTGCAGGCATGCGAGTTGTTGCCCAGCTCAGCTGCACTGCGCAGCTCAGCACAGCTCCAGTTCAGCTCCCGCGGCCAGCTGATTTTCGGGTCTCTGCTGTTCATGTGGGAGATGCATGTGCATGTGTGGAGGCATGGGGGGGCATGTGTGCCTGTGTGGGGGAGCGTGGAGGTGCAGTGCTCCTCCCCCATGGCACATTTTTGGTCCCAGGACACTTCATGGAGGTCCAAAATCAGTGGTGGGTTTCTATCAGTTTGGCCAAATCAGTAGTGTTTTGGTGGCCTGGGTCGCTGGAACTGGCAGCGACCCAGGCCTGCCATGCCCCCAACCAGTTCTATTGCCATGCGCATGCACACACAATGTACATCAAGAGCATGTGCATGGCATGGCCATGAGCAAACCGGCAGTACCAACTGCAGGAACCCACCCCTACCCAAAATGGACCATGGGGGGGGGTGTCACATTCGCATGCGGGGAGGTGGGTGGGAGAGTGCGGAGGGTCACGCGCACAGGGTGTTGCACATACATTGCATTATGGATGTGGGCACACGCACACGTACTGTCGTGCTCACGTGTGTGCTCTCAGCACGCGAGGACAAAAAGATTAGCCATCACATGCTAAATAGGGAAGCATGACAAATAAGGAAATGAGTTGATATGTCTGTGGCTAAAAGCCAAACAGAAATAATGGTCCAGAAGGGTTTAATTTATACAATCTAGGGAGAGGAATGAATGTGTTTTTGTAATAGCCTCTAACGGAAAACAAATTACCTTCTTTGAATAGTCTGTAGTGACAGCAGTGATATTTACTGGTAGGAGACTGGAGGCAGAGAGTGGTAACAAAGCTTTATTAGATTTACATTTTTTATGGTGGCACTTCACTGAAGGGCAGCGTGGGAAATCAGAATATTTTACAATTTAGTATTCTCTTTAGAATCTAAAGAAACAGTTGTAACTGTCAAAACAAATGTTCTTATTATTTCATATTCCCTTTTGGGGGCAAAATTAAGGCCTCACTGAACAAGAAAGGGATTGATTAAAAAAATAAATGCAGTCTGGAACAGAGGATTTGGTTTGTTTCCTTTTGATTGAGACAATCCTTAAAACATCATGGCTTGATAAATTAATGGCTTCCTCAACTTACATTGGATGCCACAAAGTCTGAAGCAATTTTGTTTACTCTGAAATAACTGCCTCCTTCAGGAGTTGGTCACACTGCCTGATTTGCTGTGGGCACCAAAACCTTTAATTTACAAATTGGATATTTCACTTTAGCAAATACAAGCTCATGGTCTAGTCCAGTATTTCCCCACATGGCTGGAGAATTCTGTGAGCTAAAATCCACACATCTTAAAATTGCCAAGGTTGAGAAATACTAGCTTTTCAGTGTAAAACTTCCCTTTCCCCCCTCACTTTACATACTTTGTGGAGTTTCCCAAAACTGCTTAATATATAGTACATGGTGCCTTGCATGGTTAGGATACCAGCTTGACAAGTAGCAAGCCTGTGTTCAAGACCCGTAGGGCAGGGTGAGCCCCCATCATTTGCTTCAGCTCGTGCCAGGGACATGAAAGGATCCCTCAACTGGACATCCCCTGAGTAATGGTAGTATCACCGACTAATCATTTTAACCTACAATAGCAATAGCACTTAGACTTATATACCGCTTTACAGTGATTTACAACCCTCTCTAAGTGGATTACAGAGTCAGCCTATTGGCCGCAACAATCTGGGTCCTCATTTTACCGACTTCAGAAGGATGGAAGGCTGAGTCAACCCTGAGCTTGGTGCGATTCGATCTGAAAGGATCCCTCAACTGGACATCCCCCGAGCAATGGTAGTATCACCGACTAATCATTTTAACCTACAATAGCAATAGCACTTAGACTTATATACCGCGTACAATGATTTACAGCCCTCTCTAAGTGGATTACAGAGTCAGCCTATTGGTCGCAACAATCTGGGTCCTCATTTTACCGACTTCAGAAGGATGGAAGGCTGAGTCAACCCTGAGCTTGGTGCGATTCGATCTGAAAGGATCCCTCAACTGGACATCCCCCGAGCAATGGTAGTATCACCGACTAATCATTTTAACCTAAAATAGCAATAGCACTTAGACTTATATACCGCGTACAATGATTTACAGCCCTCTCTAAGTGGATTACAGAGTCAGCCTATTGGTCCCAACAATCTGGGTCCTCATTTTACCGACCTCAGAAGGATAGAAGGCTGAGTCAACCCTGAGCTTGGTGCGATTCGATCTGCAAACTGCTGGCAGTCAGTGATCAGCAGAAGTAGCCATCAGTACTGTACTCTAACCACTGCGACACCGTACCTTGGTGCTTCTGACATGAGTGTGATGTGATTATTTTATTAAATTTGTTTGCCTCTAATCTCCACAAAGTCAACATTATATGTGTGTGTGTGTGTGTGTGTTTCCCATCGGGGTGCTTAATAAAAACTGCCTCTTTCCTTTTCCTTTTAGAAAAAACTTACTTTGAGGGGGAAAGGATATTTAATTCCGTATTGTGCACATTTTCTCTCTTTCTCTGTCCTTCATACTTTGCAGAAGATCCTTTTATTATGGCAGCTCACAAAATCTTATACCCTCTTTTCTTTGGAGTGGCTTTATTTTTTCAAGGAGACAAAGTAACTTTGCACATGATTAATATAATAAGCACAGACTCCTGGGATGATGTTGAACATATTTACTGTTGCTGGTAGCATCTCTCAGCAAATGGGACTCTTCATGAGTTTGTCAAAAGGCTGACCTTTAACCATAGCAGTCATTAATAAATTATCAAACAGTGA